AGAGATGGATTTAGGGCACTGACAGACTATTGTGGCTTTGACTGGAGCAATGATGAACATAACACAGTGGCATCTGAATCTTTGCTCATGCATCAGCCAGAACACATTGGCATGCTGAGTATGGCTGGTACTGGAGAAAACATGTGCCATGCTGACTTAGGAGTGAGGTATCCCCAAATCCCTCAAAGCCTAAAAGGGAGATGAAGCCCGTGACCCATCTTCCTTGCAGAAGAGGCCCTGCTCCAAGCACTAGAGGTTACTCAGTATTTTGTGGCCCAAGGACTACTCTTTCTCTCACAAGACATGGCATTCTGCTCATACCAATCTGTCCAGGTTTGTACACAGGTTTGTCTGTCTGGATAAAAGTCTTCTTGTCTGCATGCTTGATTAGGACTTTCTGTTTCTTCTCAAACTCTGAGTTGGCTTCTAGGACTGTGACAACAATAAAAGCCACTTCATCTGGTTTTCCAACAGGAGGAGGGACCTGCAGGCATAGTTGTAATCATCATTCAGGATGGATTACATTATGGATCCCCAGGCTTTAGGAATAACAATTATGATACTGCTTTTGTATTGCTCCAGTTCTTCTTGCCCTGAAAGACCTCACAGTACAGCGGCAGACCCATGCAGGCTGAAGCAGAGGATTCAGTACCTGACTAAGGTGTCCCCATGGGAAGACACAATTCTTTGACTTCCTGCCCAGCAAGAGCAGAACTTATGCACTATCCACCCTACTGACAACACTTGAAAATCATCTTCCTCACCTGGAAGCTTGTGCAGTGAAAGAAGTTGAGCTGAGAGATGGACTGAGTGATCAGAGTCTCATTCCCAGCTCTGCTTTGCAAGGTTACTGTCACATGGGTTGGGACTGCTTGTTTTTTGCTGAGCTGGAGGCACACTGTCTCTGAGAAGGGGTAGTAGAGCTGAGATGGTATTGCCACAGCATAATTTCTGTTAAAAAAGGAAAAAAAAAAAAAAGGTCAGGTGAAACTGATTTTCTAGGAGGCCAGTTTTTGACCATAGTATTGGGTACTTCTTAATATAACTTCTGATCTCTTCATTCCACTGTCATGATGCCACTGGGACAAGATCACACCGTTCCCATCTGTAGGTACTGCAGCCATTAACACCGGGTCTGCACTACATGCTGTGTAAAAAGATGAAGGCACTGCTTCCAAAACTGAAAGTCAGAATAATGTGAAGAGATCTCCCCATGTCACCCAAGGGACCAGCAGCAGAGCTTGGCTACGTTGCATGTTTCCTGAGACTTCAGCCTTTTCCCTGAACCACACTATGCATCCCCATCAGTTTGCTTGGTTGGTTATCTGCTTTTTTCCTACCAGCTACTTTTGAGCTCAGAACTAACACCATGTGTACAGGCCCCAGGGTCCTGGCTTCGAGTCTCAGACACAGTCTCATGACCACCTTCTCTTCAGCTTCTGATGCTCCTCTTCTCTTTGTTCTCTTATGCCAGATCTCACACCTCTGTGGCTACTCTCATAGCTGTGCCTGTGAATAACACTGAGAAGCTGTTCATATTGTTTTGGGCTTGGTTGTGTTTTTTGTTTTGTTTTTTTTTTTTTTTTTTCTTCAAGCAGATCTGAAAACTCTTATCACTGACTCCTCCTGCTTACTGCCTCTGGACAGGTTCAGGCAGTGTCATGTTTTGCAGCAGCAGGAGGGCAGAGCCTGGAAAGATCAGAACAGCAGCCAGCAGGGACGTGACCTGCTGGCAGTTCTTAGCTGGAGCTCAGCACCCTGGCAAGAGGGAGTCAAAGTCCTGCTGGCCAGGAGCGTTGAGTGCTTTCACACTTGAATGCTGTCAGGCTGCCTTGAGCAGCTTGTCTGCTGCTAACATTAGGGGATCTGATAACGGATGCCAACAACATTTTGATTTTCCTGCCACTGGGCCAAAGGATGGGGTGAGCACTTAAGACTCACTGCTTGAACCTCCCATACCTCCCTTGCTCCTAATGACCATTCACTCTGGAACATTTTCTTACAACCCTTTGACAATTCAGCCCTTGCCTTTGCCTTCTAAGCTATAAAAGGATGAGACAGCATCTCTGAGGCTGCCACTCAAGTATCCAAAGAGCCAGGCTGGATTAATTTCTCATGAAAAAACGCTGGCATACAGGTGGGAGAGCAGACAGCCTACTGAAGCAAGCAATACTTCCAATAAAGCAAAGCTCCATGCTGAAGGAGTAAAGTAACAGTGAGAAACAGGTAGCAGTAAAGCATCATTTGAGAGGGAGCTGTGTCAGCCCATGGAACATGTCTTAGAGGAAGAGTATATACTCCCACCGAAAAATATTATTAAAACTAGTGTACGCCACACCACACACAGCAGGACGGAACCCAGCTATGACCTAGTGATTTATTTCCCACTAACTTTTACTGTTCAAGCACAACCGTGTTTCTGTTTGCGCTTACGCCTTGGCTGCAAAGGCCTTCATAAAGCAAGAGCGAGTTCACATGCCAGTCAATCACAGCAGTGCCTGCTGGAAACAGGAGCTGCATTCCTGATAAAGTATATGAAGAGAAGCAGTGCTGGGAATGGTCCTTGCCAGAGGTCTGAGAAAAGGCGTGGAGGGAATGAACACACTGCTTTACAAAGAGCACCCCTGTTAGATACTCACTCTCATGCTTGCCCAGTTTGTAAAAACACTCAGCTTTGTTCACTAAAGATTTAAATGGTGACTCCGGGGAGAAGAGCATAGCCCAAAAGGAAACACATTCTGGAGCACACTAGGAGTCATGAGATGTTGGCAGGTCAGAACTGAAACACATGCAGAAGGCTGGTGGAGTGGCTCTGCCTGGTCCTTGCAGAAATATGTGGTTTACATCGAAGGTAGTAAAGGGAGAGCCAAGTAGTAGGGGCAGTGAGGGAGGGGGAGGGCACATGAGAACCAAGTGAAACCTTGGGAATATGAGAAATTACACCTTTCTGGAAAAACACTTCTGGTCTTAGGATTCCTGTCCTGTTCCTGTCACACCACCACCACCCCCAGAATTCCCCACAGACCAGAGCACATATGCAAAGCAGCTGGAGTTCTTACAGCATTGCAGGTGTCCCAACCGTGCTAGGCAGGAGAAGGATGCTGCCCCACAGGAAAGTGATGCTCCACATAGCTGACAACAGGTCCAATCCCTCCACGAAAAGCTTAGCCTCTCCTCTGTCCCCGTTTGGCCCCTGCTTCTGCTGTCGTCCTTCTTCCTTCTTCCCTCTCCCCCTCATCCAGGGCTGAAGGACTATACAGCTCCTGCCCTGTCAGGGTACCTGCGTCTCTCTTGACTTCGAAAACAAGAAGATGGAAATCATCTGCGCATGGCTGGGGCTGGGATGTGGGCGGGTGGAAGGGGTGGAGACAATGTTTATTGCTTACACACCAAAGGCACTTACCTCCAGGTTTTGTAAGGCTTGCTGATGGTTCTCTGGGAGATGTCTTGCTCTGCCTTATGCAGCACAGCTGATGACAGCAGGAGGGCTTTGTTACTGTATTTGGCACAGGGCCCCAGTTTTTATAAAGGTGTGTTTACCAGGATGTCATCAGAAATATCCTGGGACAAATTTAGTCTTTGTGATGTCAGTGGATTTTGCTTCATGGTTCTTCATCTGTAGGACTTTTTTCATGTATTATTTACTTCTTACCAAAATTACACTCCTGCCCTGCAGACTCCAGCCAGACCAGCCTAGGGCTTCATACACAGCTCTACCAGTGCCCCCATTCATCCCTGGAAGAAGGGCAGAACATTAGCATGTTATTATCTTTTTGTCATTTCCATTTAACTTAAGAGGCAGCCAACTTGATGACCATTCAGAGATGCAGAGCCCTGGGGAGTGTTTCTGAAATCAGACAGAACTCAGATTGTTTTTTTTGTCCTGCTAGTTTAGGCTTGAACTGAAAACCCTGTTGATTTTGGAGAATCAAACATGCTCCCAGATCAGTGACATACAGTGCTTTAAACCTGCAGATAATCTGCAATGTCAGCGCTAGGTTAAAGCCTGTTACATCGGACTGTGCACTAAGAGGGGGATGTTAAGCACACATATGGGGACTGTGCCAAAGTAAATTCGGGGATTGCTTCAGCTGGGATCAAAGAGTGGGTGGATGGTGAATTCACTCTATATTGTGTACTTTTGGTTATGCTCTGCAAAAACACAGCTGAGGCCAGGGCAGGATGAGGGCATTCACCTTCAAATGAGGTTGTTAATAGAGGGTAAATACATCCAAGCCCCATTCACTTCACTGCTGCCACCCAGGAAAAGAAAATACAAGGTTGCAGTACCTGAGAAGAGCCTGGAGAAGATGGGTGGTGGTGTGCATGTAGAACTACCTTATGGCTGGAGGCAGCTCGCAGGAGACCAGACATCTGACCTGGGGGGATGTAAAGTGGGACTTAAAATGTCTGGCTTTATTTGGAAAGGCTTTACGGTGGAGCTACCAGGGGAGTTGGCAGCGGTTGGCAGGAGCAGCCCTGGGAAAGATTCTGTACTCAGGGGGATCAGACATGGCTGTGATGGGTGGGCAGACAGAGGTAGATCAAGAATGATGCACAGAGGGAGTACTGAGGATGCTTTTTACAAGCTGAGGACAGTAGCTAGTGTGCAGCTTTGGCTCTCATTGGATGCTACAGCCAGGATCCAGACCAGCCATAGCCGAGATGAGGATTTTTCCTAAGACCCCTTCAGCTTGGGTTAGAGGTTACCCACCCCACATCTCCCCACCAGTGCTCTGGGACCCCATTGGCCTGGAATGCCATCCGAATCTAGGTGTGGGTGGAGGACTGTGCTATGTGGCCTTTACTCAGCTGTTGGTGGAAGCAAGTAAATATTAGCTAATGTTGTTAGCCTGGAAGAGATACTCCATATATCAACTCCCCCACTCTTTGGACTTGGGAGCATCTGAGGGGGGTATTTAGGATTGCTCCAGCCCATCAGTACTGGCAGTTCTCTTCTCCTGTGTGGATCTTGACAGCTGCTTGTCCCAGTCCAAGCAATGGGAGCACCAGTGCTCCTCCTAGCACTGACCCTATTCCTAGTCACAGCTGCAGCAAGCCTGGAACCGTGAGATTATCTCCTTTTGATTTCGGGGGGCTTGGTGGAAGGGACTGTCACTGAAGGGTGGTGCTGAGGCGCTGCACTGTTTAGCATCACAGAGCTGAACGGTGGGGGCCTTGTTCTCAGGGAGGTTGAGCAGAGCAGCTCCGACTGAGTCCTGCGGGAGCTCTGGGCATCGAGCACCACTGCAGGCAAAGCCCCCGGTGTTTGCTGGTGCAGGCACTGAACTCCACACCCCACAAAGCTACAGAAGCCATAAGTTTTGCCTCTGTTCATCCTGCACTGGTGAGGGTGAGGTGTGGTGTGAGGACTGAAGGCTTATCCCCCAGCCACTGAGCCTTCAGCTTCATTCCTCAGACAGCCTTGCTCTGTGGTGACAGGTGGTGACAGACAGGTATCAGGAGCTCTCTAGTTCCACACTGGGCATGTTGCTTCTTTCTGGTATGGAAAAGGAGCTGCTCTATAGTTCCTTGACTCCAGGCCTCCAGACATTTATGAGTCTGAGTCTACCTCTTCATGAAAGCAGCAGAGATGGATTCTTGTCTGTCCACCTCAGCTTTTGAATCATTTTTGAACATCTCCTGCTCTCTTCTAGTCACTACATGGTGGTGTTCCCTGCTGTCATTCACCATTCCCAAGAGGAGAAGCTCTGCATTCACTTCAGCTCCCTGACTGAGGACGTCCACCTGGCTGCCACCTTGCAGGTGTCATCCCAGAATCACACACTGGTGACACAAGATGTGGAGAAGCCAGGCACTTTTCAGTGCATCACCTTCCAGGTGAGTGTACCTGTGGCTGCTGATTTGGCAGTGGATGCTCTCATCTTCACTTCAGACAGGAGCCCAGCACTGTCTTTTGCCTTGCCATGGGTTGCACGCAGGTTAAGTGTGTTTCCCTACCAGTGCCAGGCAAAACACAACAGTGTCCTGGAGTTTAGCAAAGTGGGGATTCTTTCCTGTGTAGATAAAAGCCTGTTCTTTTGATCTGTACCAGCCCATTTCATCCGACTTAAAGCCTGTTGTAAAACACTGACTTTCAGTGTACTCAGTGTTTAGTCCCTAATAATGCTTTTATATATCACAGTGCAAATCAATGCATTGAGTATACATTCTTTTCATCCTTACTTCCTCAGAAGCCTGTCCCTCCAAGAGGACTGTTCTGCTCTAAAGCTGCACCTATATTGCAAAGGTGTCGTTTCAGCTTGCATAGACACTGAGCTTGTTTTAATTTAGCTGTGATGGGTGGTGATGGCACTGAACTCACAATGAACTAAATTCCACCTAGGCAGTCTGGATACTTCTTGGGGGGGCTTGAGTTCCTGTCATTGCAACTTTGCTGCTTTAGTTAGCTTAATTAGACAGACTGAGGCTGGGGCACAACTACAGGACCTTGACTTACTTTCTGGAAAGCCTTGGAGATGTGCCTGGTGCTGAGGCTTTCCGAGCTGCCCCTGTTTTTCTCAGCACCATACAAAGTTGTTGTGCCTGTGCCCTGATTGTCCTGCAGATTCAGCAGAACTCAAGGAGGGGCTGTAGTCTCTTTTGGTTCTTGCATCAACAAGACAATGATTAACTAGGTATTTGGTGCCAGCCCTTAGGAGAGAGCAAGTCCTGGCTCTGGAAAGCCAAGGAAATCTGCCATTAGCAAAAAGACCTTTCTCCTGGTGAGCTTGGTCTTTCTGATAGTGAGATGTCCTGGGCTTGCCTGATCATCTCATCTCCCATTACTGTCTTGATCAGGTCCAGATCTGACTTCCCTATGGCTTTTCTTGGTTTCATAAAAATCTTACATTTATGTGAACTGGGAGAATGATATGTCAGTTGGTTCACTCTTAGGCTAATGAACAAGAGACAGGCAGTGACTGCTTCTTCTCCCTATAATGACAAGTGGGTTAGAGACAGTCATACAGTGGAATTTGGACTCGGAAGTTTGGGGATTTTTTCATCGGTGAGGTGATGTCTCACATCCAGGATAAGATGCAAAGTCTCTGATGAATTTTTCCATTTCCTTGTATCAATCAACCTAGGTGCCAGAGTTCGTTCCCAGCAAAAGAGAGGATTCCATGTCACACGTAAGACACCTCTTCTGGATGCTTCTCCCTCTCCTGTGTCTGAGCCATGTTAATGCTGGAGATGAAGGGTGGCAAAGATAGTAAAGGGGAGGAAGAAATGTGGGAAGAGGCAAATGGGACAAGGAAAAAGGCAGAGAAATGAGAATGAGGAAGCTGGGGAGCGTGGAGAAGACTATGACTAGGGAAAGGAGAGAGCTAAATCAAAGGAGGGGAAGGGAGGAAAGGAAAGTTGGGGATTTTAGCCTCAGGCAGTTTGTTTTTTTTAACCTGATAGCCAGACACGGTGGCTTTTCTGCATGTCCTGATCCACGGTGGGGACAATGTGCTCTTTGAGGGTCACAAGAAGGTTCTCATCAAACCCCAGAAGAATGTAATTCTGGTGGAGACAGATAAGGTCTTATACAAACCTGGAGAAACAGGTAAGGCAAGAAGGTGGCATACGGAAGTGGGGAGGGAAAGGTCAAGGTAGCAGCCACATCTCAGGGTGTGTGTGGGGAGATTTCACCAAGTGCATCAAGCTAAGCTTGTTGGATATGGAAGAAAGCAGATCTCTATTATCAGATGTTTCCAGGAACAGTCTGAGTCAGGATGCTCCCCTCCAAGCTGTGCTGCACCAAATGCCCCCAGCCTGCTGCTCCTGGGTGTTGTTTTGGGGAAGTATCTCTAATGAGACCTAAGAAGAAAGTCAAGACTCTCCAGGACACTGGGAAATCTCTTGTTGTTTTGTGAGGAATGTTGTTAATATCTGAGTAAAGCCTAAAGCGACAGTTCCAAGCTGTAGAAATAGAGAGAGTCTTCACAATAGAGAGACTCCACAGTCTTCACAATACGAACAGACTGCAGACAGACCAACCCCACTCTTTAATACATCATTATAATCTGCTTAGGTAAAGACAGTGAGTTTCTACAGCCTGTAGCTGCATATAAACCTCCCAGACAAAGTGCTCTGGGCTGGGAGATGCTGGGGAGGGCTGTTTGGGGAAAGACCTGAATACCTCTGGGGTCAGCAGAGAGACACGAATACTGGAGCACAGAAAAGGAGAAGCAGATTTGTGCAAGGACATGTTGCAGCCAGAATGCTTTACTATCCTTTTCTTTATATCTCCAGTGAAATTTCGAATTGTGAACCTTGATGAGGACCTTAAAGTCATTAAAAATGAGGTGAGTATCACCTTGTGGTTTTCTAGAATTGGGATCCTCAGTGGGAGACACATTGAGAGGCTCATGAAAGAGACACCTCCCTTCATGCCTGTTAAACTATAAGAATAAATGATCTTTGAAGGGAAATCACTCATCCACTGGGCCCTTGGAGAAAGACTGTAGTGCAGGCTAGCACAGAGGGAGGAGGAGACCTAGTGTGGGGTCTGGATGTGGCAGAACGTTCTGGTCAGGGGTCCATGTCAGGCAGTGTTATTAATATTGGTTCACATGGATGCTGTTTTGCTCTGTACAAAACTGAGCTTGTGTTTCTCTTGTTTTTACAGTATTCCCAGATATGGCTGCAGGTAAGTGACAAAGAACTGACCAAAGGGACATGTTTGTCTCTTCTGTTGTGCCCTTTCACTCCTGGACAAAGTTGTGTTGCAAATGCAGCCTCATAAGGTTATGGTTATGGTTCAAGTCCAGCTGAAGTCTTTTCTACCTGGTCAGCCTGGGTTCTTCATTCAAACCAGTATATCTATACGTGATGCGTATAGCTGAGCTAGAGGCAGGGCAGTAATGAACCTTTGCCCAACACCTTGTCTGCACAGAGCACAAAGCACAAGGCTAAGCACTCAGTAGATGCAGCACAGCTGCTTCTCCTTCCCACCATGTTATGGGAAGCTTTACTGTCCCAGTAGCTTTACTGTTCTTGGAAGCCTTTGCAATTCAAAAGTTCACTAACAGGATACTGGAGGGAGGAGAAGGAATCCTGCCTGATGATCTGGCATCCTCTCTGTTGGGGCAAGTGTAAGCCCCTGTAGTGCCTTCTTGTGTCTGGGTATGGCTGGACCTGCCAGGTATCCATGCTCCCAGTGTGACTCGGTGGCTCTGCATGTCCTTTCCCAAATAGGATCCCGAATATAACCGTATTGCTGAGTGGCTGAATGTAAAGTCAAGACATGGCATTGTGGATCTGTCCTTCCCCCTGGCCTCTGAAGCACCACTTGGGAGATATACCATATCAGTCCAACAATACATGGCTGGAAAATCCTTCAGGGTTGGCAAATATGGTGAGACTTGGAGCACAGGGGTGAGGGGAAAAGCAGTGTGGGTAGCTGGAGAAGAAAGTAGGGTGATGTGGCCGTGTTCATCAGACCTTTTGCCCCAGGACAGTAACAGACTGGGACAGGGACAGATGGGTCTGTGTGTACCTCTCATGCTGGGCTGGAGATTCTGCAGCTGCACAGGGTACAAAGGAGAGGCTGTGGTCTGACATCTTGTTTGAGCTGTGGCTGGGCCCCGTGATGAGCACTTTCTGCTGCTCATCGTCACGCTCTCCTATGCCAGGTTTGCTATCCACTCCAGTCAGCTGCTGTAATAGGAAGCAGCATCATGTCTTAGTCCCATTCAGTTGCAGTGATGTAGGTAAGGACAAAACCTTGTGCCATTTAAAATGTTTATGCTTGACTGAGCTGGAGTAGAAAGCAGTCCCATGTGTGATTGTAGCAGTAAATAGACGGTGGTGTGGCTGAAGGGAGTAACCCCTGTTGTACCATGGTGATGAATAACTGGGGACATTACTGTCTTACCCCCACCTGGACTTCAGCTGTAACAGAACTTACAGTGTCCATACTCAGTATTGCTTGGTGTTCCTCCAACCTTATCTTCCTCTTTTCTATGCAGTGCTGGAAAAATTTGAAATGAAGATTGAGCACCCTCCATTTATCACTACAGCAGATGAGGAATTTCAGCTGAAGGTCTGTGGCAAGTGAGTACATGATACCATTGTGATTTCCAGCCTTTGACTCCACAGTCACCTCCAGGTTGCCCATAGTTGAGAAGTGGCCTTCCAGTATGATGTTCTTGCATTACCCTGTGGTTGGGGGAGACAAGGTATTCTCTGGAATGGGCTCCTTCTCACACCTGGTCATTTACTGAGGGGCTGAAGGGCACTAAGGGTGCTGGGTTTTGTGGGTGGAGAGGGATGCAAACTGATCTTAAGAGATGAGCTGAAGATCCTGAGCAAAAAAGGTACAAAGCTCTCCCAACCTCTATTTCTCCCCGGTGAGGGTGGGGGGTGCCTGGATCAATATTTCTGCTGAAGCGGCCAGTCTTCAGGTGAATGTTTCTCCCTTTTGATACAGGTATACCTATGGGAAGCCCGTTCAAGGCGAAATAGTTATTAATTTTATCATATTATCCCAGTTATTCGAAGACCCTTCATCAAATTCTTCTATGATGAGGAAGCAGAACAGCTGGGTAGGTGAACAAATAGGAGAGTGGAAAGTATAACCTGTTGGAAATGTATGTCTGTCCCATTAACCTACCTCAGTGCACCTCTGATGTGCACCAACCTGTTTAGTCTGGTGTCTCCCCACGTGCTAGACCTGATCAGGCCATTGATTCTTTTTCCTGTGACTCTGTTGCTTGAATTACTGCTTTAGCTGCCCATATCTGACTCAGTGTTTCAGGAGAAGGTGTAAGCTCTGTGTAAGTAATGATGTCTGGGGCCTTTCCCAAAGGTCCATACCATATTGTATGCAATCAAGTCACTGCTCTAGTCAGTCCTGTGACTGCTCCCACCAATAAACAGATTATAAGAGTATCAGATGGTCTGCGGCTTAATGTCCTGTTTCTTGCTGTATCCATGGAGTTAATGGAGCATCTTAAGCTTGCCAATGTCCTGTCTGAGATTATATCCAGTGCTGGTTACACTTTCTGCACATTTGTGTTCATTGTATGTCTATGGTTAAGCTCCACACTATTTTTTTTTATTTTTTTTTTCCCCCATGAGTTTCAGATGCAGCTCGTTCAGCTTGAAAGTCACAAGAAAATATTTCTAAATGTCAGGCCAGTTGGCCACAAGCCAGAATATAAAAATCCAGCTGAATCTCTGCATCTTTTAAAATGCACCCTGTAGCAAAATATCTCCAGCTGGAATGCTGTACAGTCTTAGCTGTGCAAAACACCAACCGAATGCCAGCTCCCTCTCACATGGCATGTAAGAGGCCCGGCAAGGTTCTGTGAAGAACTGAACAGGCATGACTAGAAACATTTTGTCCACCTCCCCTCTCTGGCTGTACCCAGCCTCTGTCTTAGTGCCTGGCAAAGCTCTTGCAAGCTGTAAGTGGCTGGATGCCCTTGTTTAACATGGCCATGTCACACAGATGGTCATGACTGGAAAGCCACACTGTCCATCTTTATTCATCAGGGCCACATAGTTTCAGGGACGAGGTTATCTGTATCTCAGGTAAAGACACTTATGCTCTTTCAGCTGCAGGATCAGGGCTTAATCCAATCTGGTGAGTTTGTCTGTGGCATAATTAACCCTTAATGTAATTTGCCCGAAGCATGTTTTTCTGCCACTTTTTTTTTGTGACTGTTTAATTCAAGCATGTTGATTTTCTTCTCTGGCTAGGGTATCAGTGATGGGTTTCGGCAGTTACAGGTTTCTGAGCTTCCATCTGTTCCACAAATATTTGGAAGTACTTCTTTAGGATTGCCCAGCATCTATGGAACAATTTGTCTTCCTCCACACTATGCTCCTTCTCTCTGTTCGTATTTCTCTTTCTGCAGACAGACAAGAATGGTTGTGCTACTTTTACAGTGAAGAAAGAGAGTCTGAGGTTAAATGAAACTGATAGCTACATATTTGTGACAGGGGAAATGGTGGAAAATGGAACAGGTACTGGAAAATACGTCTTCTCTTCCTTGCAGGCAACTTCTTTGGTTTTGGCCTTTCTACAGCACTTGTATTCCTTTTGAAAAAGTAACTTGATGGTTCCCAAGTCTTCTAACAACCATTCTAGTCTCAGTTCTAGTACCTCTTCCATCTATTATTACCAGATTTCCTAATCCTCTCCACCCTTCATCTCCACTAGCACGTATATAACCTTTTAGTGATTATCTGGACACCAAGGTGTTCCTCAGCCAGTTGCAAAGCACTCGCTAGCTGCGGAAACTCTTCAACAAGCCCCTTCTAATTGTAGTGCACTATCCTGACAGGTAGTTCCTACCCACAGACTCTTGCTCTCTCTTTTCCTAAGCCTGAGACAGGTCTGCTTAGTACCCTCCTGCTGAGAGGAATGCCATTCTGCTCCATTTTAGTCTGACACAATATTGACTATAAGGAGGTAGCTTTTTAGTATCAGGGTTAATGTGCACCTGCCTCTGGCAACTGAAGGTCTCCATCATTTGAACTGTCACAGTGTGTGGGGGTTCTCCAGGCCACTTTTAGGCATCTACAGTGTAGCTGTCTATAACCAAAGTGTCATCTAGTTTCTCTTTATCTTCAATAAAGAGAAATAAGTACTTATACAGTACAATGCATCATGACATGAAGCATAGGGCCCAGAGAGGTTGAGGGAGTCATATCCTAGAAGAATATATTTTCTTTCCTAAAATTAGCGATTGTATATACTGCATGCATGTAGTGTTGAAGTATCTTGTCTCCTGCTTCTCTAAGAGCACTGCTAGTGTTTAACAGATTTCTCTTCTCTCAACCCAGGAGCAAGTGCTACGGAAATGGCTAGAATTGCTGTTTTGATGAGAATGAAGTCTATAGATTTTATCAACTTCCATTCATTCTACAAACGTGGACTACCATACACAGGGAAGGTAAAACCTGTGGATCCCTTCTCTGCTGAGAATATGTGATAGATCTAATAATCTGTAGGCAGAAAGCAATAAGCTCCAAGAAAGTAAGAGCTTCTTTGCGGGTACCCATCAACTATGAGTGAAGCCTCCTGTAGAAGCAATTTCTTCTCCCCTTCCTAACCTAGTATATTCCCCAGACAGGAACATGAGGGCCAGCTGCAGTCTCTGGAGGCTTCCCCAGGAGTAGCTTCTGAAACTAGTTTGTTCAATAAAAGGCATATAGGATGCAGGTGGCATTGGCAGGGAAATAACATTCCTTTTGGTCAAACGCTCATGGTAACTTGGCAAAAATCACTAGAGCCTTGTATATCAGTTCACTGGCAGCCATTTCTGACTCAAGGCCCCTGGGTGATGCTAGGACAGCTGTCCCACTGGGGCTAGAAACACTTTCACCTGAGCCAGTACTAACCCCAGCATGAAGGAGAGCAAGGAACAGCAAGAGGTAAGTTGCTGGAGACAAGACTGTTTCTGATTGTTAGAGATCCTGCAGCATTGTCCAAGAAAAAGCTCAGGATCTGAGTAAATCACCTTTTTCCCCCTAAAATAGGTGTCTCATTTGGCTACGCTACCATCTATTTCTAGTTCTGAACAGCTGCACGTCATTAGTTTTGTGTATTTATCACACTTTTATTAAGGATCCTTCCGACCTGTCTGCCCAATGACGGAAACAATTAATATTAAGCACTGGCTGTGCCTCAGAGTGTGGCACAATGGGGTATTAACTTCCTCCCCTTCTCTGCAGATATTCTGCCACAGTAACGAATCTCCCCTCAGAAATGAAACAGTCTACCTAATAGTTGATGTCAATGAGGAGGAGACACACTTGTCATTCCTCACGGATGAGAATGGAGAAGTCCACTTCTCACTGGATACCACCAGCTGGAACAGCACATTTGTTTCTCTGAAGGTGAGCATCAGCCTCAGAAAAGGGAGGAGAAAGTGAAGGCAAACTGAGAAAAGGGATAGAAAGTGGAAGAAATCTGAGGTTTTGGAGCACAGTCTTCTGGATCCTGATCTCATTTGACTGTATCTGTAGAAGCATCTTCAATTACTCTCCAGTGCCATCTCCTCAGGGAAACTGGAGGCTGTGCTGCAACAGTTCAACCAAATGGTCACCAAAGGTGCTTGGCTGTCCTGAGCTGCAGCATGATCCTAGTCTTTTGTATCCCCTCCCCCCCCCCC